AATTGACAAGAAAAGGAAATCATATAACGGCAACCTCAAAATATGCAAACAAACATCAACACTCCAACTGCTTGAAAGACTTACAATTTTTTACGGCTCGCCAAATTAGGTGCTACTTTCTCAATATAATCACGCCGCATGTCCAAGGACAAAGGTTTTATGTGCTTTACAAGCTTATGACAGTCCAAATGACAATTTGAGCAGACACCATGCTCCATTTGAAACAGTTCCTGGTATTTCAAGCATTTGATAATTGAATAATATTTTTTTGATATCCATGTGTATTTGATAATTGAATAATATAAAAATAAAAGAAATGATATAGCTATATACTCCCACATCACATGTATCCGTGTACGTAAAAATGTCGATAGAAGCATCATTGTGGATATTCAGAATAAAAAGATCACGATAAAAGTTGGACTTAAAAGATCGAACACACGATTAAATAATTTATAATTTTTAGGTGCAATCTGTCGTCGAGCCTCAACACTTGCTTATAAAATTGTTTGGCTCGCCAAATCATTATTTTGAAAGTATAACTAGATCCAAAAGAATTCATATACGATATATTACTAGTTATTAACAGTTAGATAACTTAGAAAAATGGTTCTTTTGCGTGCTGGTATAGCAGAGGAGCAAGATGTTGTCAAGCCTTAACACATGCAACTTGCACAAACACGTCTTACTAATAGTCATTCGACATGCAGGTCGACATTTTACCCCACTACCACACATGTTAAACTGGAGATAACCAATGATGGATAAATATAAATGGTTGATATTCTCACCCGACGGAGGGATGTGCTACTAATCCTGACGCGGTATTCTTCATAACAGCCAAGATTACAGAAAAGATCTTCAAGAAATTCAGGCGTCTTTGCATTTATGCCCCTGAAAGTTGAGAAACAATTTAAGTTTGATCAAAGAATTTACAACTTACAAAAGTAAAGAAATGGACTTACTGGCATGGTGTTTGACACAGTTTACAAAGAGGTTCATCTGTCAGTTTCCAACCCTGAGTATATTCTTTCTTTCTTTTTCCCGAGCCAGAGCATAATCGGACCAGTTTCCACACAGCAGAAGATGGTAATGGTCCGCTAATGTCATCGAGTGGTGTTGTACGCCGCAAACTTTTACCCTTTAACATTCCCTACATTGGAGAGATGCAATCATTAGTGTTGAATTGTGGTGATGGGATCCATCCCATTCTGAACAGAAGCATCTATAGTTACTAGTTAGTTATAGCATATAAAAGTAGCGATTCCAAATTTATATCTTGCCCAGTGACCACTTTGTACCAATTAAAATAAAAAAGTATTAGGCCCTCGTTATACTCGCACTGTATCATAAGTCCACATGTAAGACGCATTATAAATGATATAAATAATAAATTAACCATATCAACTTAAGATGGAGTAGCTTATTTAAACTGGCCAGACTACATGAAAGGGAGTAGGCCTACACTGAACTACATCTAGGAAAAATCTTACTCAGATTAAAATTGACATACATCTGCATTGTGGTTGGTGCTTTCCTTCAAGTAGCACAGCTCAACATCTAAAGGAAGTTGCAGCGGCTTTCCATGTAACTTTCTTTGCTCAATGGGTCTTAAATTACGCCATTCATTGAGAAATTCCAGAAGAGCATGCTTGTAGGACGTAACATCCAAATTGAAATCTGTTTTTTCAGTATCATCAACAGAACAGTCTAATAATTCAACTTCTTCTGGTCGGAAATTCAGAAACAGTGGCCTTGGTCGCAAGTCTATCCCAGGTACACATGTATACAAGTGGACCCTTCCTGTATACTGACTAACCTGAAAAATGAAGGTGAACCATTTTTCTATCAGTTGTGTACTTAAGATCCAATGCATCAAAAGAAAAACAAGGGAAGCACTTAATAGATTGAATAAAAGATCTCTTTTCAAACCATTAAAGGGATGGTAGAATCTGGTAACAAATTTTACTGCGTTTGTTACAATCTTTTCCCAAATAAGACTCACGATGAATTGCTTGTTATATGCAGAGTTTCAAGTCATCTCATCCACAGATCCTTGTGAATAATTATGTCAAAAAATTTTAGCATATAGTTTTGAATGGGAAAATCTTTTATCCAAGGATATAATTATTTCCCATTAAGGTTGAAGGATCCACCATGAACAGAATATTGACTACATTGAAGAGAGCATTACAAATCAACAACCAAAATGAATTTTATTTTAAATAAGAAAGAGAACTAAGAGTTAAAAATCAAGGAAACCAAGCACAAGCTAGTAGTTCCTAAAGGCAAAAATAGATAGTTGTTATTTCTATCTAAGTTTGGGCTGTTTGAGAAGAATAGAACAAACCAATGGTTTAATGTAGCTAGACAATCTCTTCCAAAGATAAACCTCAGGTGTGAAGCTTAAAAAATTTTAGCTATGATTCCAATCCTAAATTTTAACTATGATTTTGTTCTCCGTTTAATAACTGTAGTCATAATGATCCTTTGGCAAAGAAATTTTTGTAATCTTCTTTTGCCAGGGGTTTGGCTTTCCTACCTTCTCTTTAATATTTCATTATTCATAATATTCGGTTCCTGTAGAAAATATTTCCATCGTATCTATATTCAAAGATAAGCAAGCACCAATGCATCATAAAATTCAATATGAAAACTTTTCTAGATCAAACTTCTGATGAAAGAAGAGTAGAGCTCCCCTGGAGTAATCAACGTGAATGAAGTACAATTTGACCAGTTAACTTATTGAACAGCACAATCCATCAGCCATAGGCAATATGAACATTCAGGTAATCTAAAGAAGAATAAATGATTATGACAAACCAAAGTACCTCAAACCGCAAAACATGAACATGGTTTGAGAAATGTTTTTTGGGCTCAATGGTCAGATGGGGTTCACCATTATCAACCTTCGATGCTCCAGAACATAACTTCCCTTCCTGCATTCTGAAACCTATTAACACCTGGACAGTCAAGATATGAAATACAAGTGTTTCAATAATTCCTATCAATACTCCACCTTCTGTGCTTGATCCTTCTCTCCACTATGCTTATCCAATCCAGGACAAGGAACTCTTTCAGGGCTTCGGGGGTCAACTTCAGTTATATTCTCTTTCAATTTTCCCAATGAGAGGGAATCCTTGTTTAGTTGGACAGATAACATGTCATCCTATTCAAGAAGTAAATTTAAACGAATCATCTCTGCAACAGAAGCTAAACTGAAAATTCAAAATATATGTCTTGAAATTGAAACCTGCAAGTGGGGAGATTTTTCCTCCTTTTAATGTGTAACACATTACCTTAATAGCTATGCTATCTGTTTGAGCTGTAATCTCAATGTCACCATATTTATCAGATGGACAATCAGTTTTAGCATTCAACTCATCTCTTATTTCAACCTTCAATGGAGCATTCAACTCATCATTTACTTCAACCTTCAAGGAGTCATCGCCTTGAGCTCTTGTTACTTCTGAGGTGAGTTCAGCGCATGTTGCTGCATTCAGCTGACTCTCAGAATTTCTACTACTTCTGCCACAAGCTTCTAGATAAGAAACATGTTCTACCTGTTCACAGTCCACTAACATAAAATGAGATTTCATAGCACATGTTGACCTTTGATCAGATTGCATAAAATATAATAAATGAAAATAAAACCAAGAAAAGGGGTATATTTTACATTTTTTTATGTAATTTTTACAGATGAAATTATTTCATTGAAGGTAGTGAAATAACAAAAGGGAAGCCAAGGGAGTCACATAAACACCTGTTGAGAAAATGAAAGTGATAAAAATATAATGCAGAAGCAATAATAAAAATCTCAATGTTTGATGAATAATTATAACTGAAAACAAACATTATAACACCATCTCTTTAGATTTTTATTGAGAAAAGAAAATAATATCCTGAAATTCAAACCACAAATATAAAACAAGATTCATCATATAATGTTGAAGTATGGCAATAATCACCGCTATTTCTTGAATTGCATCATATTTTCCATCAGTCGTTGAGGTAATGCAGCGCAAACTCTTGTTCAAGTTTTGCCAGTGAGACTCATCTAGCGTATCCTGTGTAACATAAAATAATCAGCACAAAGCAGTTCACATGATTCTCAAGGAAAATCGTTCACATAGTTTGTAAGCATAATGAAAACCTTGGCACAGAAAATGTATATGTTGACTGCCTTGGTCTGCCCTCGCCTGTGAGCTCTATCCTCAGCCTTCAGAACAAGCAAAACATGCATATGAATAATAAATCATAAATTTCATGTAGCTTCGTGGAGAGTAAAAGTACCATGTCAAGAGCTTATTTGTCTTCTCCTTTAATAACTAGTGGAGACTCAAGAGACTTGTTTGTAAATACTAAAAATACCATGTCAAGAGGGAGGGAGAGACAGAGAGGTACTTTCGTTCCAAGATGATTCATACCTTATCTCCCGTTTCTTGTACTTTCTATTTCTTAAATGAAATGTATTGTTTCTTACTTTTTTTAAAAATCATTTGCCATGATAAATAGTTACTGTCTTCCCCCCAGACTTTGGCTCACCCCAGCCTTTTTGATCTATCCACAAACAAGACAGCTCGAGTGTGCCATATTTCTTGGGAGCAGCTTTGCCACACTTCAATCAACACTCATGACAGAATACAATGGAAAAAATCCCTCCCTAGCCATCTCACCAAATTGCTGCCACATGTGCTTAGAAGAAGTCGCCATCTTTTTATATCTTGTGATTTCCCTTTGGATTTTTGGAACAGAATCAGGTCTTGCTTTGGTTGGTGCTTTCCCCTTCACACAAATCCGAAGATTCTGCTTCACCAGGCTTTGGTGGGTCATCCCCTCAATAAGGAGGATGGAATTATATGGATGCCGATGATTAGAGTCTTCCTATAGAGTATTTGGGTTGAAAGAAACAACCGGACCTTCAATGATAAATGTCTTCCGTTCAATGGATTCTATGATAGAGTTTTGTTATTAGCTCTTGGTGTAAATGTTTCTACTCCCTTTTCTCTAGTTATAGACTCATAGTCTTAACGATCCCATATCAAACTGAATGGTCTTTCTGTAAATGGAGGCTCATCTTTTGTAAATTCCATTCATCAATAAGATTTAAGTTTCTTTAGAAAAAAGAAAAAAAGGAGTTTGATGGAAGCATTTCTCGACAAAAGTTAAAGCATAAGGAAAAATAACTGAACCTGAAGCATCAACGATGGTGACTGAGGCAATTCCAAAAACACAACATTTTGTGCTGAAGAGAAATCAAGTCCAACTCCACCAGCAGTAATACCTATTATTGCAATTTTAACCTGATGCACAGAGAAAATTATTATGCCCAACATCAGTAGCATAGTTACGAATCGGAGCGACGAAGGGCTGAATCTCAGTGGATCGGGGCAGCAAGGCCACTCTGCCAGTTACAATACCCTGTCGCGTATTTAAGTCGTCTGCAAAGGATTCTACCCACCGCTCGGTGGGAATTACGTTACAAGGCGACCCCCGAGACTCACCCGTCACGAGGGCTTCACCAACGACACGTGCCTTTGGGGGCCGTGAGGCCCCTAACATCAGTAGCATAGTTAACCATGTAGATGCACAACATCAGAGTCTCTTAAAGACGTAAACTCGTTTCTTTTGGATAGTAAAACAAGCTTTAATTAAGATAAAGATAAATGAAAGTCGAAATGGTGGGGCTTACATCAAAACCGCTGTTTTAAAAGGTATTCCTAGGCGATGGAGGGCACCTAATTCTTTAGTTCATCCATCTTAAAAAATAATGTTCTATTCTACCAAAGACATTTTACTTTCTGTGCTTTTAAATTTTATAGCCAAATGCAATTTCAAATTCAAAAAAATACCAAAAGAAAAAAAGATCTTTTCTTTTATCCTCCTTTTCAAAAACTTGTTTTCAGATCACAAGCCACGAGGCTTAAGCATCTTATTCAAAAAATAAAAAAAAAATTTGGAAAAAAAATGATCTTATGATGTTAATTTAATTCCACTATGCATCAATCCGTCAGCAATTGATTCACACCAGATATCCGATCAAAGCACGTTAATGTAAAAAAATGAATGTGAAGGTTACACAAAAGGATAATAGCAAACCTCTGATGATGACTGGAATGAAAGCACAGCCGATTGCCTGTCTCGAGCAAGAGTGGTTCCATCAATGCGAACAAATAGGATTCCCTTTTCACACATTAGTTCCTAAAAGAAATCAAAAGAAGAAAGATTTAAGTAGCAAAAGAAGCTAGAGACAGAAGACGAATGTGAACTTAAACATATGGTAAAGCAACTCCAAAAAATTGACGAAGTTGATTTAATGAAAGCTGGTGTCTTTTTTCAACAACAACAAAGAAAAAAAATAATAAATAATAAATAATAAATAAAGAAGGAAGGAAAGAAAGAAAGAAAGAAAAAAGTTTAAAATATTTTCAGGACGAAGAAACCACATACAAACACCTCACAAGAAGGAAATCCACAAAAGAAATTGAAAAATAAGTTACTGAAGCAACTACATTAATTCATATTAAGAAAAGCTTAAACATATGGTAAAGCTTCATTTACATTATAGACCTTTGTAAACAACATCGCCAGTTCCACTTTACAGTCTAGTAAAACACCGTCCAATTTGTGGTATTTGCAACCAAGGACTTGGAAGAAGCAAAAAGCTTGAATATAGAATGAGCAAGTTTTCGGTACAAAAATTTTCCTAAAAGAAATGAGAAAGGGTCTCACTTGTACTCCATCAAGAACTTTATGATGATGGGCAAAAATGATCATCTTTTGGGAATCCGATTTCAAATCCAAGTCCATCAAACCATCTGATTCAGAAATAATTGGATGAATAGAAAACCATTCACGAAAACCAGATAGCTTTGCAATACCCAGTTCATGGAAGGAGAGCTTCCGGAATCTGGAATCTCCACCATCTGAAAGATAGTGGAAAACAAAGTCAATGAAAAAGAGATAGAAAATCCAAGAAGTAGCTGAAATGGTGCCCTTAAACAGTCTTTCATCTCTTTCGCATCTTCCTTCAAAACACTTGCTAGTTTTATGGGAAAATGAGGAGAGAGAATATTACAACTAATGATAAAAAAGATGACAACAGAATAGATAATCATACATGAGTGTTGAATAATTAATGAAGTGAGATTATGATAAAAGCCTAAATATACACCAAAAAGATAAAAATAAATTGAATTATCCTAGCTCGACAGGCTCACGAGATATTCCTTTAGGGTACAGAGTTTTAATTAAAAAATAGTAAAGGCTATGTAAGTCGAATAACCATCAAGGCTCAATAGCTCATCTTTAAGAGCTATTGAACCTCGTGAAAAAAAGAAAGTCTTTTCTTTATTTAATAAGAACATAGACATTTAATTAGAAGAACCATAAGTACAACAGGTAATAAGAAATCAACCTGAGAAGGAGCCAAGGTCATGATTACGACGGTTCCTCCAATTGGCTTTAACAAAAAAGTAATCTCAGGTACAAAGTTGAGATAAAAAACTCCAAGGTGGAGTGTTGTACTAGAAAGGTCGTACTAGATAAAGATCCCAAATTTCATCATTTCTTTGAAAAGAATCTTGAAGAAGTATATGATTCCTCTTTCACCCACAACTTCCACACAAAAGCTTAGATAACACAACGCACAAAACCTTAGCTCACCAACCAGAGGGCTGACAAATTAGATGTTGGTTCAGACCTTTTGTAGGGGACAGCAGAAAAACTCACCCAAGTTGAACACTTTTAGACAAAAGGATCTCCTTGGCTTTTGAGCGGAAGTGCAAAGAATGAACAGTGATTTCAGATTCAGAATTCTTCTACCACAAAATACACCAAGTAGGAGAGGTTAAGTTTTGAATATTCCTCCTTTGAAGCATTTCTACCATTTTCATGCCACCCACAGCCAAATTCCAGAGGAAGAGCCTAATCCTCTTAGGAATACCATGGACAGCACAAGGTTTCAGAGTCCTCGTGATATAGAACGATCATTTTTCCATTTTTTCTACAAATTATTTTTCACGGTGCAATGACAGTTAGTTATTCATTAGCTCGTACAACATTGTTACATACTACAGTCACCCAAAAGTTGTCATTATATAGTTATTGACAAGTAAAACATAAGACAGTATCCTCTGCAACAAGGCTTCAATGCTCTATTAAATATATTAAAAAAAAAAAGAGCGATGTCATAAAAAATCTACAAACATATAATATGAAACCTGATAAATATAACTTCCAACAAAAACAAATTTTTTAGTATTCAATAACAACTTTTTCACTGCAACAAAAGTTGGGTATGAGATAACCAACAAGAATAATTGCTGCATAAACAAACTTAGTTGAGACAAATAAGATGCAACGATAAAGTATACATTCATGTTTACCATCATGTTCCTCTTCCTCCAAAATATCCTGAGTCTTGTTTTCAGCAGTAGTTCTATCATGATCACCACCAATCACCTCCCTAGTAGCTGCCTTTGCTCCGACTATATCAGACCTTTTCAACTGCAATCTTATGATTTGCCTACGTTTGGGTGGTAGTTGAACCAACACATGCTCCTTCAAACGTCTTATCTACAATGGAAACGAAACAATTAACAAATCAAGAGTGGCAAAAGAATTCCAATGCTTGGAGTGGAGATGGCAAACAATACACACAACAGCCATTGTTCTTTTAAGCACAAGGCGCATGAAACACTACACCTTTCTAGGGTTAAAGCATGAAGCGCACATCCAAAGTAAAAATAAAAAATTTTAATATTTAAAGATATAATATTATGAATAATGAGATAATGAAAAATAAAAAATTTAAAGCAATGAGGAGAATGATTAGAGATACAAGTTTTAGGTGAAAAGTTTCCTATTTCGTTAAAAAAAAAAGATCCCTTATTGAGGTTGCCTGCAATGAAGGCCTAGAACGCCTTTTAGAGTAGTGGAAGCAGCAATACACACATAGAAGCAAAGACTCTGAGTTTCATAAAATTATCTGAGAAAATGGAGATGAAAGTAACAGAACTTCCATTAGATTAAGAATAAGAATCTTAGTGCAGAGACAAAAAGGGCTGGCTTCTACCAAAGAAGACATCCTATTTGCAGTCACCGACTACAAATCTAATTACAATACAAATCCTTTTTTTTTTAATCTTATTCCCAATAAGCACTGTCCAGTGTCCTCAAACAATATGCTCTCCTAATTAAGATCAATAATATTCTTAAGAAAAACTATAGCTCCAATCCATGCTCTCAAGGACAAGAGAAACTCATTTTTGCTAAGCAGCACATTCAAATAAGCACTGTCCAGTGTCCTCACATAAAATTAATAGAGGAGAACAAGCGCATACCATAACAGTTTGCTTCAACAGCACATTTAACTCATCAAGTCGAATGCCTTTCGAGAAGTCCTGCAGCAGCAATTCCATCTAAGCTTAGAAATTGTATCCTTAAAATGATCGTTATAAATCAAAGCTAAGACACGGTTGCAATATAAAACAACCCTCCTGATCATTAATGTTCTTGTTTTTCTTACTTCTTATGTATAAGAATCCTAAATATAGTGTTGTCCAAAAAGCATCAACCATTTTCATTTTTCCATTTATTTTCGTCCTCCTTTCCATCTTCATTTCATTCACAATAATTTCAGATAATACCACATTCAGATTCTAAACTTTGAGAGTTAGGAGGATAGAATGCTCTTTAACTGAGTCCAACTAGTACCTTAAAAGTTTTCCCCTGAGAAGTACAAACAAATTTTACGGCGCAGTAAGTTTTTGCAAACTCATACTTGGTCTTTCCCAGCAAACCAGGCCTACAACAGATACACAATGGAGGAAATAAGTGAACTACTGACAAAATCACATCGTTGAATAAGTCAATCAATAAAGACCTAAGATGTAAAGGTTGAAGAAAACTTGCCATAGCATGTTTATCTGATGAAAAATGTCATAGGGTCTAAGATCACCTAGGAAAATAGAAAGTGAGATGTTATAATGAATAGAAACTAAAATGAAAGTATAAAATATGAGATGATAGTCATATCTTGAATGATAAAAGGCATCATTCTCATTAAACCATAAAAGAATTCACTTTGACTTTGAGAAAGCCATAATACAACCTTGACAAAGAAGGAGTTCCAGATAGAAGAACAATATGCTGGACCTTCGTTGCTAAATCAAGAACAGCCTTTATCTGTGCAAGAACACAAGAGGTTACAACACACGTTCTCATGCAAGCATATTAATCCTTTTTAAAAGGTAAAAACCCCAAGGTAACTAACTTGGAGTAGGTAGAATTGAAATACTAATAAATACATAAAAGATTTTTTTATTGAAATAAGTACATTCCCAGAAACATATCAGAACAATAAACTAGTAAAATTAATATGATTTAGCCATATATTTCATAAAAAGGAGTATGTAAAAACCTCCTTAGTCCCACCATGAGTTGTTTTCTCAGTTTGTTGCAAGTGAATCACTTAAAAATAAACCAGCTAACAATAGAAAGAAATTTCAGTCTTTTATTCTTATCTTGTATCTCTCTCTCACTCCTTCAGGAGTTTGTATCTTTGAACATTATGTTCTTTTTCATTAATCAATGAAAAGTTCGAGTCCAAGAAAAAAAATGGAAAGAAATTTCTACCTAAGTAAAAGAAAAAGATGGCTTCTAACTAAAATATAGTGAATATGGTATGGTGTGAACTTTTACCTCTTCTGGTTCAGATGACTTCTTGGAACATCTTACATGATGAGATTCATCAACAATCAATAAAGACCACTTCTGCTGAAGAATGCTCTTGCGCAGGCGGTGAAGCATTGTATATGAAATAACCACAACTTTCGGGAATTTTGACAAATGGCAAGGATTGTCCAGATGACCAAAAACTTGAAATAATAAATTACTAAATTGTAAGAAAAATATGATATTCATATTACACGTAAACTTTAGTAATGCGAAAACAAAATTTATGAAACATGTCAAAAAACTAATTGTTCAATGGCAATTCAATTTTTTTTCTTTTCTTTTCTTTTATTTATATAAGAAACATGAAACTTTTAATTCTAAAGTAAGGGATTATAAAGAAATGTTAAGAAGATAACTCCTCACATCTAAATTAATCGACAATGGTGTAGTAACAAAAATCTGTGTAAAGCACTCTAACTAAAGGTTGTATACTACAGTCACCAGAAAACGGCAGAAGCCACAATAATGGTCAGATGACAATTTCAAACAATAAATTAGATTGTTGTCTAATTAATGGAACCAAAAATTTAATTCAATCTGTATCTAGGGAATTATAGCTGGAGAGTGCCACTTTCTCCCAAACAATTTCTCCCAAAAAAGGATATTTCTTTCTTACAAAGTTGAATCAAGATAATCATATCACTGAAGATAGTTTTTTCTTGCTTTCTCCCAAAAAATTACCAATTTTCATCCAAGAGAATGATGTTTCGCTCTCCGTTCTCTCTCCTCCCCTTCCTTTCCTCGGAGATATGACCCCTAGTTCTCCTCGCCGGTTTGACCTTTCTGTTCCGATATGGCCAGTCGCCGGCTCTCGATAAAAATAGAAAATAAGTCTTTCACCTGTTCGTTTGACTCGAGTTCGAAAGGAAGGGTAGTTCTCATACAGGAGTTTCATCTTCAGCGAACGTTCAATAGCTCCATTGAAGAGGTAGCCTTACTGTGGTTGGCAGACTCTTTTGAAGATTTGCTTCTTTCCCCAAAGGCCCAAAAGTTCTTCAGAAAACTCATTGCGTGAATGGTTTTCTCTGGGTCCTCAAGACAACAAACAAGAGGGGAAGTTTTATAGAAATTAAGAAGGTTTTGAACTCTGGGGGAAAGGCAAATCTTGTGGTTCCAGCGGGGGAGGGTTTTAGAGGATGGAATGCTTTTAGAACTTTCCTTTTGGACTTTTTGAATGGTTTTGAATCAAAGAAAAACACCAAAACAAAGAGCAAGGTAGAAGTGTCTCAGAAGTAGCTGAAGTCATATGCAGGGGTTCTGAAGCCGTCTCCTCCAATTCATGTTGTGGTCGCCCCTAAGAAAAGTGAAGTGAGACCCATAAACTGGGCACAGGTTCTGGCCCTCACTAGACGAGATTTTCACGATGACTTTCCATGGAATCCCAGTTGCAGACGAATCTGATTATGAACTCTTTCCAACCGGACAAAGCCATTCTCAAATGCCCAAGTGAAGATTTGGCTTGCTTACTGTGTATGAACAGAGGATGGGTCACTTTTAGGGACTTCACGAGGAAGAATTCTTCTTTCCATGGAATCCCAGTTGCAGACGAATCTGATTATGAACTCTTTCCAACCGGACAAAGCCATTCTCAAATGCCCAAGTGAAGATTTGGCTTGCTTACTGTGTATGAACAGAGGATGGATCACTTTTGGGGACTTCACTCTTAAAGTTGAAAGATGGAATAAGGAGCGTCACGATTTTACTTCAGTGGTCCCGTCATATGGGGGGCTGGCTGAAATTTAGGAACATCCCCCTTCATTTATGGCACGAGGATCTCTTCAAGAAGATAGGAGATAGTTTCGGAGGTTTTTGAGTTTGCAGATGAAAACGCGACCCTTATTGAATGTATGGAAGTGGCAATAAGGGTGAAAGGTAACTATTGCGGTTTTGTGCCATCAGGGATCAAAATTAAAGATGGAGGTTTGGAGTTTGTGGCACAAACTGGGACTTTCCAAGATTCAAAGTTTCTGGCCGGAAAAAAGGTTGAGATTCACGGTGGCTTCACGCCTGAGGCAGCAAAAAACTTCCATGGAGGTCCGGCGAACCCCCCAGGACCTTGCACAGTGGATGTCTGGAGGGTAGAAGATGGGTTCTATTACCCAGTGGTCCAAGCGGAAGACTCCTCTGTTATTAGAGCCTTTTCCTCGGAGTATCAACCAGCAAGGACATTTGTACAAGGAAGGTCTCCTTCCATCGCTGTTCAAGAGGGCCCCACATCAGTCCTAGGTTCGAAGAAAGAAGGGAGGGCTTTAGAGGCACGTGAACAAATTCAGGCCACGTCCCTTCCTAGTAATGAAGGGGTTCAAAAAAAGTCAACAAAAGGGGTAGTACCAACAGGCTCACACATCCCGAGGAAAGTTGCTTTTCAAAAAGGACAAAAAGGCTCTCCAACTCTCAAAAAGGGGATTGTATTTTCTACGGAGGAAGATTTACAAAAGAAGAAAAAACAAAAAAGAGAGGAAAAAATAGCCAGAAATGAAAAAGGGAAAGGTAAACAACTAGAGGTCTCTTCGGAATCCTCATGGTCGAGTGAAGATGTGCCGGTGAACGAAATTCCTTCTTCTCCTACACTTTCTCTTGACTTCCCGGAAGATTATCATCTTTGTTTCGAGGAGTGTTTAGAAACGGAGGATCCTGGAAAGGGGAGAGAACTTGTTATAGTAGATGTCAATCCTATTGAACAGCGGCCATTAGAGACGGAGATGGTCTTAGAAGGGCCAGTTGAGACGAGTAAGATTGCAGATGCTACTCCAGTTGTTCTCCCCTTCACAAAAAATCTGGTGGTTGCTCTTTGGGAAAATAGCCCATGTATTAGACCTATTCAGTGTTGTTAGAGTATAGATATTAGTATATTTTATATTCTTGTATTAATATTAATTTGTCCTTTTACCTTCTCCTTATAGGATTAAGTCAACCTTGTATATTTGTCTATATATATAGACTTTAATAATGAGAATACATTACATTGGATTCTCTCCAACCTTAGTCTCTACACATGTAAAGGGAAGGTGGGGGGAAAAGGAGGCAAGAGTAACAATGTAGAAAGTAGAGAATTGAGAAACTTGCTAGCTACGTGGGAGAATGAAGCAAAACAGAGTGTAGAAGAGGGTCAGGAGGTTTCTTTATGAAGATAATTTCTTGAAATGTCCGAGGTTTGGGAGCGGCCTCCAAAAGAGCTCTTGTGAAGGATATCATTAAGCGTGCGGATCCAGATATAGTTGCATTCAAGAAACTAAAAAGAGTGAGATTGATAGATTCTTAGTTAAATCTATTTAGAGTTCTCGGCGTGTGAGTTGGTTGTCTTTAGATGCGGAAGGGACCTCAGGAGGTATTCTTCTCTTGTGGAATGAGCTGAAAATTTCGGTTATTGATTCTGTGGTGGGAAGTTTCTCCCTTACCATTCATTTCTCTCTAGTGGATGGTAGGCTCGGCTGATTCACAGGGGTCTATGGGTCGTCTTCTAGAAGAGGTAGAACTAGCTTTTGGAGGGAATTAGAAGATCTGGGAGGTTTATGTCAGGGTGTGTGGTGCATTGGAGGAGACTTCAACGTGGCCCGCTGGTTATCAGCAGAGTACTCGTCCTGGGAGAATTACTCGTAGTATGAAGGATTTTAATTCTGTGATTGAAGCCTTAGATTTGAAAGACCCCCCATGGATAATGGCGCTTTTACTTGGTCTAACTTCAAAATCTCTCCCACTCTCTTGAGGTTAGATCGCTTTTTGGTAACTAAAGATTGGTTGATGTCTTTTGCAGATCAGAGGATTGTTCGTCTGAGTCGCCCTACTTCAGATCACTTTCTCATTCAGCTGGCTCCGCTTGGGCGGAAATGGGTCCAACTCCGTTTAGATTTGAAAACGCTTGGCTCGAGTCCCCCCTCTTGCTCCCCCTGGTTGAACAATGGTGGTCTTCCCATCCTATGAGAGGTTGGCCAGGTCACGGGTTCATGGAAAAATTAAGAGGCCTTAGAGGTGTGCTTTCTCGGTGGAACAAAGAGGTGTTTGGTCATTTGGGGATCAAGAAGAATTCTCTTACAAATGACATAGAAGAGCTGGACAGGATGTAGGAAGACCACCCTTTGTCTTCAGAGGAGAGGGAAAGGAGAAGGCTTTTAAAAGGGGATCTTCAGGAGATTACCATTTGTGAACAAAGGATGTGGGCTCAGAAAGGGAAGCTGCATTGGCTAATCGAAGGTGATGAAAATACAAATTTCTTCCATCGATGGTCCTCCCAAAAACAGAGTGGGGCTTTCATAGCAGAGATTGAAGACGAACAGGGTAGACTTTTGACTGAAGAGGTAGACATTGTGGCTGAATTCTTAAGGTTTTTCTCCTCCCTTTATACTTCGACGGTGGATCAATGTTTTCATCTAGAGAATATTGATTGGTTCCCCCTCACAGAGGCTCAAAGCTCTCAGTTGACGGTAGCCTTTTCAGAGGAAGAAATCAGCAGGGCTATGAAGGATATGGGTTCTCTAAAATCTCCGGGTCTAGATGGGATGAGTAATGAATTCTTAAAAAATGCTTGGAACATCTTCAAGACCGATTTGGTGAAAGAGTTCCAAGATTTTTTTGAGAAAGGAATTATAAACAAGAGTACAAATGAAACCTATATTTGTCTCGTTCCAAAAAAGAGAAATCCCTCTTCGATGAAGGACTTCAGGCCAATCAGTTTGGTCTCATCCCTTTATAAGATTGCGGCAAAGGTTCTCGCTGCCCGCCTTAAAAAAGTACTGCCTTTAATCATCTCAGATGCTTAAGCAGCTTCCGTGGAGGGTCATCAAATCATGGATGCAATTTTAACTGCTGCGGAGACAGTGGGGCAATGGAAGAAACAGAGGAAGAAGGGCATGTTATTAAAACTAGATTTTGAGAAGGCTTATGATAGAGTGGATTGGTCTTTCCTAAATGCGGTGTTACAAGCTAAAGGTTTTGATTAGAGATGGCGTAAGTGGATTCATGGGTGCCTGTGTACAACTAATTTTTCTGTAATTATTAATGGAAGGCCTAGAGGCAAAATCTTAGCAAAAAGAGGCCTTAGGCAAGGTGATCCCCTCTCTCCTTTTTTTTCACTTTGGTGGGTGATGCTCTCAGCAGGTTGATACACTTTTGCCATGAGAAGCGAATTATTAAGGGGTTCAAG